AAACAAAACAAAACAAAACAAAACAAAACAACCCACCTAATTATCTAATTATATTTGATACTTACTGAAGGTTTTCCACATCCTGGCAAATAACAGGAGGTAGATTTTCATCTTTCAGTGCTTTACTATCCCTAAGGAAAAAGCCACAAGAGTATTAATAACACTAGATACATATATAGAAGTTTACAACTCAGTTTTTTGTTTGTTTGTTTGTTTGTTTTGCAGAACTGGGAATTGAACTCAGGTCCTATCTCTCCATGCCCTGACAACTCAGTTTTATTAAAGTATGTGTTAAGATACCGGAAAACATAACAAATACTTCTAATTTAAAGCTTTACTGGATGATTTCAAATTTCTTCATAATGAAAAATAAATTTATTGATCTAGAAAATTTTAGCACCTATTGAACATCAAAATTTCTTATGTAAGAATGGCTTTTTTTTTTTTTAATGTATTTTTGCAGGGTCTCACTACACAGCTTGGACTCATAGTGATCCTGTTTTCAAGCATCCCAGCACTGGGATTAGGCATGTGCCACCACGCCCAGTCTCGGTGATTGGCTCAGCTCACCAGGGGACAGGGCTGGCGCAGCATGTGGTGTCAGGGAGAATGGCATTTTTTAATAAATATACTTACAAGCATTTAAACTACATGTCTAAGAAAAAAATCGAAACAGTATGGATGAGATGTTAAATTATGTTTCCCTTAAGTTCAAAGATTCTGGCATTTTCTTCAGTTCAAAAATATTAAAAGCATTTACAGACATTCCTCCTATAAGAACCAAGATCCATTCCTGTGCCTAAGTCATTAAGCAAATCAGTAAGTGAATAATTTTACATAGTATGTACATTACAGAATCATAAAAGACTCCACCTTCATGACGTTACTTTTATTTACATAACGCTTACAGGTAGGGTTGTAATGTATAAAAGAACATAAAACCATAGTACTATATAGTAAGTACAATCAGCGAAAATTGTAACAGTGCACTGTACTGAAGAACCCACCATAAGGCCACACTACTGTTGACATTCCTGCATCCTAAGTCCAACTGCATATCGTAAAGTCTGAATATTGTTAAAAGGATAAGTTGTTCAATGAGGAATATCTGTACTAAAGTCTGCAAAATTTTTTGTGTGACAAAACATTTTATTTTCTAACTGCATTTTGTTCTTCAACATACATGGGAATGGGGAAAGAGAGATAGCAATGTCGTTACAGAGATTCACAAACAATGAGAACAGGGACAACTAAAATTTGGCCTGCTGCAATACAATTAAGAGTTAAGAGCTAAAACTCTAAGGACCAGTGATATAGCTCAGTGGACTAAGTGCTTGCTTAGACAAGCACACGGGCTAGGGTTTGATCCCTGGCACTGCATGCCGCACTGGCTCCGCACCCGAGAATGCTGAGCTAGCGATGGAATCCGGGCATGGTGGTACACTCCTGTAATCCCAGCACCAGGGAGGCTGAAAACAGGAGAATCACTATGAGTCTGAGATGCATAGTGAGACCCTGCACAAAAAAAAAAAAAGTCAAAAACTCTGGACAGATCTCAACATATTCATTTAAACTTTTAAAGTTTTGGGGTCTCAGATTAAGGATGTTCAATTTATAAATTCTATCATTAAAAATTTCAAAATCAAAAAATTCCATATTTGTAAATACTTTTTGTGTCGCAAGCATTTTGTACAAGAGATGTAATGTGAAACTAAAATATACACAAGATGTGCGGATTCAACTTGACTATTTACATGCTTTACTTAATGTAACAGAAATTAATTGAGAAAATGTAACTTATAACAAATATAAAAATATTGATTGTTTTCATGCCTATATATGATGTATTAGAAGCTACTGTCTTCACTGAAGACATCAAGAATTAAAAGTATACGGACATGATACACACACACACACACACAGCCACACATGCACATGCTCTAAAGGAGTGCTGGAATAACTCAGTGGCACAATTCATGTTTAACATGCACAAGGTTCTGGCTTTAATCCCTACTACCTCCTCACTACAACAAATTATATTTTGTTATTTGTATCATTTAGAGAAATGCCAATCATCCTCCTAAAAAGTTTTAAAATCCTCTCAATGGATTTTAAAAATAGAAGATTTGCCTTTTCATAATCTTTCTAAAACACGTATTTACTTCATTCTTAGTAAACACTGTTGGGGTTTTTGCTGAATGTACAATTGGTTATATCTGCTTTTATTTCTTTCTTTCTTTTTTTTTTTTTTTAAAGACAGGGTCTTGTGCTATAGTTCAGGCTGGCCTTGAACTTGCTATGCAGCCAAGGCTGGCCTCAAAGTCATGGTATCTTCTTGCCTCAGCCTCCCAAGTCCTGGAATTACAGGTGTGCTTCACCATGCCCTGCATTTCTATTTACTTACAACTGTAATATCTGCCTACAATTTCATACATAAAACTCTTAATTAAAATACAATATACTGGGGCTGGGAAGATGGCTCAGTGGAATAATTGCTTTCCCGGCAAGCGCAAGGGTCTGAGTTCAATCCCTGGTTCCGCCAAAAAAAAAAAAAAAAAAGATAAAATGCATTATACTTACTCTGCTCTTGTTCCTGTTTTATCACCTAGAAAATTCAAGAAATCTTATGAATAGGTATTTTTTAAATTAATAAAAAGGTATAAATGAAGGCAGTTCTTAGCTTGTCTCTTAAACATTGTACAATGTCCCAACATCATGAATTTAGAACAAGCAAAATCAGAGGTATGTACATATATATAGACATGTTATGTAGCTGATCTGCATCTACTTCTTTCAAGAAAAAGATTTTTTTTTTCCCTCACCTATCTTCCATGGAAAATATCCCGGATGGGGTTTATAATCTTGGTTCCCAGCTCAGCTCTCAATAGCTTACACCTAAGATCCTATCAGGATCAAAAAGCATAATGTCAAATTACCTGAACTTCTCCAGTCTGTCTATCCCTAAAAGCAAATGTGCCATTTACCTTTCTATCTTCCCTGAGTAAGACCCCTGGAGTCACACTCTCAATGCACACCAGTTTTAAAATGTCTTTGCCAGTCATGTAAGTAAAAACGACCACTTCATAGTAATTTTTAAAATTTAATCATTTTTTATTTAATTAGGCACGGGGTCTCACTATGCAGCTTGGACTTGTAGTGATCCTCCTATCTCAGCCGTTCCCATGCTGGGATTAAAGGCTTGTACCACTATACCACATTTTGGTGGCCTGCAGGGCACACCTGGAATTCCAGGGTCAGCAGGCAGCACCAGAGATCAAACCCGGGTTCTTGCACTTGCCAGGCAGGTGCTTAGATTGCTGAGCTATCTACCCAGCCTGTAATTTTAAATTCTTATTCCACATGAACATTTTCTTCAAATGTTCAGTGTTATTTCTTCTTTTGTGAACAGCTTACTCATATGATTTGTACAGTTTTCTTCAGATATTTTTCTTACTT